AAAAAAAAAGTGGCCACGGGCCTACGAGAAAGTTGCACGGTCATCGTACCTACCCCGCGGGCAAGTGCAAATGCAGCAAACGGTCGAAGCCTGGAAAATCCTGGGTGTGCCCAACTGTAAAGGGCCCAGACCCTCAACTGCAGACATGGGCCTGGGCGCAGACATTGGGGCCCGACCAGAAGCTACTGGAAATATCCACGGCCAGGCCCAGGGAGTCCAGCATCAGTATCCACTTCGATGTACGAAGCCAACCAGCCAGGGAAGGGCATTCTGGCCTAGGCAGGCAATGCGGACACGCTACTGCGCTCGCGTGCAAGTGTCTGCATTGCGCAGCTGCTGTTTGGGGCTCGGACGGGCGCTGCGAGGTGAGGGTGCTGCAGGGCAGCAGGGCGCTAGCTGCCATAGCCAGGCTGCAGGGCGCGAGGCAGGTGAAGGGCGACAAAAGGTCTTCGGAAGGAGGCGCTGATTCCGCAGAAAGTGGGTGGACAGGGGATGATGAGAGAGACGAGACTACGTACCTCAGTACCTGGTGTATGTGGAGAGGTCGGCATTGGTGTTGACGACATGTGCATTGGTCTTCAAAGTTGAAGTTAGCCTGAACGTAGATAGGCAAGGCAGGACAAGTAGGGCACGTTGGGCGCTGGGCGCCAGACAGAGAGGAGCACCATTGAATACTGTGTTAGAGTGGCCTGAGGGCTTGAACATTGGCTCACGAGTTCATTGTATTGCTCTTATTTGAATGGAATCTTGGTGCATTTGAGCTCAGAGTCTCTGCTTGGTTCATTACTATCTGGACTTCTGCGTGATTTTGCAACTTGGTATTCTGTATATCGCTCTCGCTCATATTCCTTGCATGGAGTTAGAGTCCTAAAAAGGAAAGCAGGTAGGTTCTTTTTTCCCATCTTCTTCTTCTTCTTCTTTGCAATTTTTTTCTTTTTCGTCTTCTTCTCTGATGCTTTTTCTTTACTTCTTCTTCTTCCTTGCTGTTTTTTTCCCCCTTCATCTTTTTCTTCTTTTTCCTCTTTTTCTTCTTCTTCTTCTTCTTCTTCTTCTTTGCTGCTTCGTTTTTTTCTTCTTCTTCTTCTTCTTCTTCGGGCAGTTCGGCGGCGGTAGTCAAACACAAAGAAAGAAAGAGGGGGAGAGAGAGAGAGAGAGAGAGAGAGAGAGAGAGAGAGAGAGAGAGACTATGTCGTCACCTGGTGCGGGGACTGCCAGTCCGTACTCCCGTACTCCCGTACGTAAGGGCCCTCAGTGCCTGTACGGCCCGTACGTAAGGACTTTGGGCCCTCCGTACGTAATTGATTGATTGATTGATTGGTTGATTGGTTGGTTGATTGATTGATTGATTGTTTGGTTCGTGGATTGGTTGATAGATCGTAAAAGACAAAAAAAAAACAAAAAAAAAAAGAAACAAAAATTCATGCAAAAGATTGATTCATTGATTGATTTGCTGTGGGGGGGTCGCCTCCCCCCCATGAATACACACACACACACACGCACACACACATACAAACACACACATACAAACACACACGGACGCACACACACACGTGCGCGCGCGCCCGACTGTTTTTTTGTTTTTTGTTTTTTGTTCACTGATTGATTGATTGATTGATTGATTGATTTACTGATTTGATGTGGGGGGCTCGCCTCCCCCTCGATTACACACACACACACTAGCACATACAAACAAATCTCCCCCTTCGCCCCCCCCCACGAGTGTGTGAAAAAAAGTGCGGCAGTGTATATTTTCATGTTCTAGTGGCAATGTATATTTCCATGTTCTAGGGATAGATTCATTCGTCTGTGCTTTCTTTTTTTTCTTCTCTTTTTTCGATAACAAACCATTTTCTTAAAATTGTATAAAAAATACTAAGGGGACCCTCACGACCCCTCGTACCATCCCTGGGGTTCAACCCCCCTCTGGCACGCCCCCAATTCGCCCAGGTACGTTCGGACGGGAACCATCCGTTGTCCGTACGCCAGTCTGTCCGTCCGTCCGCACGGTCCGTACGCAGACCCCCTATACAACGTATGGGGTACGACACTGGTGTGAGAGAGAGAGAGAGAGACAGAGAGAGAGAGAGAGAGAGAGACTGACGGACACACACACACACACACACACTATGTATCCGTTTAAATGTCGTGAACGCGCATTCGCGTTCAAATCCGCGTTTGAATGCGGATTTAAATTCGTGTTCAAAATTTCATGCCGTTCAAATTTTTTATATTCTTATTATTCTTATTATTCTTATTATTATTATTATTATCTTTTTATTTTTTTTTTAAGAGCCTCTCTCTCTCGCGCGCGATATGGA